TTTTTTTCGGAGTGGAAAATAAAAAAACATTTTTTTCGTATAAGCTAAAAACCAATCGGTGGCCCTTTTTTTAGCTAGCAGGTACTATCTCTATAGCTAGTTACTATAGCTAGCCTACCTAAAACTGGCGATTGCTACCGGGTGTCAAATCGGTCTTTTAGTAGCATGGTCTTTTTAACCATGCCAAAACCTCATTAGCTAAAACTGGAAAAAGAAAGCTACCCAGTAGAATACGCCGGACAAACTTGTGGAAATCGCAAATTTTTTGTAGGATAGCGATAGTACCCAGATCCTCCCCCGGTAGTATCTGCATACCCTAGAGATACAGTACCCGATAGCTATTTGTATCTCCTGCCGAAAGGCCAGAAGTGACGTTAAAAATTTGCAATAACTCAGGATTTAAATTTTCTTTATAATGTTTTCATTAACAATCTTTTGAATACTGTTCAGCAGAAATTCAATGAGCTTTCCGGCAATGACTGAACGCCCAGAAGAGGATGTTATCATTAAATCACAAGTTAGAAGTTGTCTACACGTTCCCAAAAATGATTTTTGAAAAATGAACTTTTTTTCAAATTGCTTGTTTGTTGAATTATCTATATTCATCATCAAAAATTATCTAAGTATATTCATTCTAGTCAAGCTAAATTAGTACGAAAGTTAAGAACACGATGAAAAATTCTCGTTTTTTATGCGTTTCAGTGTCAAAACGGGAAGTCCAACAATGCGAGAAGATCATTTTCTCACTGTTCTTGCAAAAAACCAGCATCGATAAATTCCATGCTAAACTTACAAAAAAAAAAACCTGGAAACTCAAAGCGATCGGTCATTAAATATTTGGTTAGTCTGATTTTAAGGCTCGTTAGACTTTTTTTTTTTTGAAAGACGGCTTAGAACTTTGTGTATTTGGTCTTTTTGCCATCAATGCAATTAATATAATCGGTTTTATCAACAAAAAAACGCAATATATGTACAGAAAAGGCAGAAAAAAACGTTTACAGGCTGGCTGTATCTATTTTTCGGCCGAAAACGGGAGAGAACATTGGACTTCCGATGTGTGGAACTTGAGCCCATCCTGCAAAAACGACACTGATGACGTTGGTTCCAGCAAATTGATTCAGGTTTGAGGCTTTTTTTGAAAAAGAATAAAAAAAGGAGAAAAACGTACCCATGCTGGAAGGACCACCAAGGAAAGGATCTCCGACGAGGTTGCTGACGACTTGACGGCGGTTCCTCAGGACTGCGGCGTCAGAGGGTTCGAGAAGACAGAAGAGAAGAGCGACGAAGCAGAGGAAGAAGTTCATGTGGAATTTGCGAGTGAATGGATGCTGACTGAGCCATCGTACGCCCCACCTTATATAGTTCATCATCGAGTGTTTGCCTGCCTTGTTGATCACGCGCTGATTAGTGTAAGCGTCATTCTCTATTCATTCGAAATTTTTCGACTATTACAGCGTTGTAAACTATTCTTGTCTTCATTTCGTACTTTGTTTTCGAAATAACAACGGTGGACGGACACTTGGAAAGAACGAGAAGACGTTTTACTGAGCCGGATGGAGCCTCACCAAAAAACGCCAAAGTTTTCGTTTAAGATGTTCGAATCGAGAGAAATTACATAGAAATTGAAGATGTGAGTGCGAAGAAACTGTATGTCAGATTTTACATGAGTTCAGTAAAAATAACTTTTACTGTGAGAATCCTCTTTTTTAGGATCCTTTTTCAACTGAGATTGTTTTGTTGAAAAAAATCGGATTGCAGCATTGCAATTTGAAATGCAAAAAAAAAAGAATTACGTGACTTCTATCGAAGTACGTGACACGGAAGAACTTCTTTGGCAACGCGTTTGGAGGCCGAATTTCTTCGGTTTGGAGGAGTTCCCCAGAAGAGATTGATGGTTCTTTAAAAAAAGAGGAGCGTTCAACAAGAACTTCAAACTCTCAGGCTCTACATCATCGCTTATGGACGTAAAAATATGCTTTGTATAGCAATAGATAAAATAAATAGGATAACAACACTGTATTATTTCCTACAATTTTTATTGTAAACTTAATGAAAAGCTTGGATTCTTGATTTAGTTTCATTTCTTTTGTGATGAGTTTGCGATGGTGAAACTGTAGTTGTTACTCATCTCCACGCGATTTCTGAAAAATTATTCCCTGCAATAAATCTTAAAAACTGGCTTTTTTTTCAATCGAACGTTCAAACACAATCGTGAAGTGTGTCTGATCTTGTCGCGTTTCCTTGACATTTCTTTGTTGGTTTGATCGGGGTTATTGCGAAGATCGTCCTATCCGTTGCAAAATTCAAACGGCCGGAAAATCAGAAGAGAATTTCATTCATATTGTTTCTCAATATTTAGACGACATCATGTGAAGGCGTCACTCTCTTTCATCATCAAACATTTTACGAATCGCCCTTTGACACGGCCAGAATCAGAAGACCGTTGTTAACTATTTTTCCCACACAAATAACTCAAGTTTC